TTCGTTCCGAGCTGCGCTCATTTAACGGTGTGTGCACAGATAAAAATCAAAATAATCATCAGCGTTTTTAATAAATTCGTGAAACTTGAGCTTAAAACAATGGATTGGTTATTGTTGGCATTCAATATTCAGTCGCTCTTCATTTTTTCACTTCAAACAAAATGAATTGGCAACGGATTTTACGAATTAGTAATTATTTCCTACTACTCACCGGTTTTCAGTTGCACTGCTTTGAGCCAAGAACCCAGCGTTATCATCTTTCTATTTGGGGTATTGTAAATTTCATAGTCCTCACACTTTTCTATACCATCTGCGTGAATCAGCATTTCATAAATTCGCCGCTACTAAAAATCTTTCACGATGTGTCACCTTTTTTCTGGCACCTGATACGCGTTCAATTAATGTTGGGATTAAAGATTTACATTTTTCGAATTTTTACAATGGCTGAAGTTGGGCGCGCATGCAATAGTATTGCACGCTTATCCTCTCGGCCGTTTGCGCTTAAATTCAGTGTGGAAGAAGCATTCGCCTATTTTTTAATTTTTTCAACATTTCTTATTTCACTTTGCTTTGCTTTGTATATTGCTTATGAAATGGAATTCAAACTACCGCCGTGGGATAATATTTTCATAAGTTTTGCGCTATTCATACCACATTTTGCTGTGGCTGGAGCTTTGAAGCTCTACACAATTAATTGCTGGTTCCTCCGCGAGAATTTAAGACACTTGAAAACGGAGGTCGAGGATACACTAGGAATGGAACAATTAGTAACTGGCGAGAAAAGTGCCGATGACAAGATTGAAGTGGATGTTAATATTAGTGCAACAAACACTTATGTAATAAAGCCAGCAAGTGACATTTTAAAGCAGTTGGAGGTGCACCAGAATAAAATTGAGCTATTGGCTGACAATGTACAGCTTGCAGGTGTTGCATTGGAAAAGGAATTGTTGTTGTTGTTGTTGATGAACAGCTCATGCTTATTGGCTGGTGTTTATTCGCTCGTCTACTTCAAAACTAGTTGGCATTTGTTTTTCTCCCCATCCTGGAAGAGAATTTTCTACGCTGCCAACATTGCTATTTACGTACTAATCTTCTGGGATTATTTGTGTTTGTGTACATGCGTGAGCTTTTACAATAAAGTTGTAGGTGTTTGCCTAATTAATTTATATTGCATAGTTTTAAATGGAGAATATTTTATATTTTCAGAAATTGCAAATACTTGAGCGCATTCAAGTGAGTTTGAAGTCTGGAAATATCATGGAGAAGCGTGCTCGAGCTGCACTTAAGGCTATACGAGATGTGTTAACGCTTGAGCTTAGATTGAGACTGTGGAACGGTGTTAAAGTAAACGCCACAAACTTGTTGATGGTAGGGCATTCCCTTTTACATAAAACAATGCCACTATATTCTCTTTAATTTTATTTTTCCAAGGTACACATCCTCCTGGGATTAACTATATCGGTAGTTGTGATGTATCAATATATAAATGATCAAATTATTTCCATAGTCACACGTTTGGACAGCGCCGAAAGCGGTGATTACTAATTTATGCTAACACAATTCAACTGAGGAAAATCAGAGAGTATAACTATTCATGACCTCACCCCATTTAGTTTGAGCGCCAGCTTGACACCGGATTAAACTTGGATTTAACTGAGCACTGAAAATAATGCATAATCCATAAAAACTTTGAACTATGAATTAAATATTTAACTTTTCCGTTTCCGTCGGCAAAATTATCTGACTTTTAATTTCCCTTTCCTGAGATGATGATGCCATATATAAAGATTTGTCAAGAAATATGCCAAAACAAAATCCAACTCTTACCAATTTTATGTAAGCAAGATAAGCCAATAATAATCAAAATTGTTGATTGAAGAATAAAATACTTTTTACAAGTTTAAATTACGAGGAATTCCAAATATTCACTCGTAATGTTTTTTCGTGTAATTCCATATGGCAACATTAGTACATCATGACTTGGCAGTACTGAAAACTGTCAGTGCCAAAAGAGTATGCCAAATGTCACAAACAGCAAGACGCCAAATAAAAACCAAGCCGATTTTAGTAAACGCCGCGATTTAGTGAAAAAATTCCAAATATTGTGGAAAAAAGTGAGAAACATTAAAATATTTTAAAATGAGCGCTGGAAATATGTTGTATGGCGGTGATGAAATTGGCGCCCTTGTTTTCGACCCGGGTCATCATTCATTGCGCGTGGGTTACGCACAAGAGGATACGCCGAAAGCAGAGATTCCATCTGTGGTTGGGGTTGCACCTTCCGCACCAGACACAAACATGGATATAGAAACAAAAACTGACAACAGTATAACACAAAATAGTAAGATTATAGCGAACAAGAATATTTTAATATACCATTAACTCTTTAAACGACTTGTGATTTGTTCACAGATGCAGATACTCGCAAATACTATGTGGACACCACTTATGTAAATGTACCGCGCACACAAATGGAAATACAAACGTATATGAAAGATGGCATGATAGATAACTGGGATTTATTCGAAAAAGTAATTGACTACACTTATGCCAAGGTCATACAATCGGAACCTGAATACCATCCTGTGTTGTTTTCGGAGGCCTCGTGGAATGTACGCAACAATCGCGAGAAATTGACAGAACTTATGTTCGAAAAATACAATGTACCCGCTTTCTATTTGGTCAAAAATGCTGTGTTGGCAGCATTTTCGAGTGGTCGTGCAACCGCATTGGTTGTAGATAGTGGCGCAACGCACACTTCCGCTGTACCCGTGCACGAAGGCTATGTTCTTTCACAAGCAGTGGTGAAATCTCCCCTAGGCGGGGACTACTTATCGATGCAATGCCGGCAACACCTTGAAAAACAGGGTATCGATTTATCACCCGCATACAAAGTCGCATCCAAAGATTTGGTAAAAGAACGCGATGCTGCCCGCTTCACACTGCGTAAACTACCCGAAAACCTAACGCAATCCTGGCAAAATTATATGCTTAAATCACTATTACAAGATTTCCAAATGAATATATTACAAGTGTTGGAGAATCCATATGATGAGCGTGTGGCTGCGCAAATACCCAGCGTACATTATGAATTTCCCAATGGCTACCATCAGGAGTTCGGTTCAGAGCGGTTTAAATTGGCAGAAAGTTTATTCGATCATGCCATGCTTGGCGCGGGACAATTAGCTTCAACAAGTGTGGGCATGTGTGACGCAGATGTTCGATTATCACTTTTCGGATCTGTTGTTGTAACTGGTGGTAATACGCTGTTGCAAGGATTCCCCGAGCGTCTCAACCGAGACTTGCAACTGCGGGCACCATCGAATACACGTTTGAAAATGATTTCGGCAAATGGTAGTGTAGAACGCCGCTTTGGTGCATGGATCGGAGGTTCGATTTTAGCCAGTATCGGCACATTCCAGCAAATGTGGATTTCCTCGCAGGAGTATGAAGAGTCCGGTAAAGGTCAAGTAGAACGAAAATGTCCATAAGCAACCTCATTATTTTGGGGCAAAAAGGTACGATATTAGATCGACACATATTTAAAAAAAAAACTTAAAATTATGTCATAAATTAAAAGGAAATAAAACAACAACTAAACTTAATGCTCTGTTAAAATCTGACCATATGTAACTAAGTACATACATTTACATACCGTAATTCTTTGTAGTTTCGGAATCCGGCTTTGGGTTTAAAAATCTTTTTAATTTTGTTTTGCCGTATTTATTGCATTTTATAGTATTATGAACTAAATTTTGGGAAGATATTTAAAATCTTGTTGTCGAAATTCGTATTCTTTTTTAAACTGTTTCCTTAAATTTACCCAGTCTTTCTTTTTAACAATTACTTTAAAGCCTGATTATTGTTTTTCACTGTATGTTGAGCCTTCTGAATCTCGTCAATCCAATTCTGCTGTGCAATCATTTGTACCGCCTCTTTCGTTATATTTTAAACTTTTCCAACATTCGCTACGAAAGTATCCACTACTTGCGCTACGTTTACAGCTTCATGTCCTTCCCGCCAGCTATCGTAGTCTGACGCGATCGCTATGGCAGCATACAGAAGACCCGCCTCTTTAGCCAATACAACCTCGGGGACGATGGTCATATTAATTAACTCGCCACCCCACCGGCCAAACATTTTGTTTTCGGCCTTTGACGAGTATCGTGGACCCTCAATGCAATCACGATCATGTACGTTATAATTGAGATTATTTGCTGCAGCCAGCAACACTTGGCGGGTCGCCTAATTGAAACAAGGCGACATGGGTAAATAACAAACAACGGGTGGACTGTCTGGTTGGCTGTCGGTGAAGGTTTCAATCTTTTGAGTTGTACGGTCGATAATGTCATTGGGTATCACCAATCACCACGCTTATATTCCTCACGCAAGGAGCTCACCATCACATGCGTACAACCTGCTTCCTTGAGAGCCCAGATATTAGCGCGATAAGGAATGTTAGATGGCATTATACTGTGCTTGCGGCCGTGTCGAGCAAGTAGTACCGGAAGTTAGAGTACTACATATTTTCCTTCTAAAACACTTAACTTACCGTGACCATACAACCCCAGAAACCCGTTGGGACTCTTGGTTTAGGACTGGCAGGTTTCGAACCTGCTGCACAACATGCCATGTTTGCGATATAATTCTGTGTTCACATGGAATAGAGCTTATGTCGAAAGGCTGGCTTTAGTGTAATGCAGCATTCGCGGCATACGATTGCGAATGACTCACTGGCGCCGAGCCATTGAAGAACTTTCGGCAAATAAACGCGCAAATGGTTCCATATTAGCAAGTCAACATTCTTATTAGGTCTCACCAAAAAATTCCTTGTTAAAGGATAAAGGGAATACTCGATATAAGCTACTATTCCATACGAACACAATTGAATTCTAGATTTTTAGCGAGTTTCGGAAGAAACTAAGCAAAATTTTCAATTTCGAATTTTGAAGAAATAATCTAGAAAAATATTTGAAATCAAATGATATACACAAGGTGTGTTAAATAGATTTTGCTTTGGATATACATAAGTACAACGACAACTTTACAATTGGCTTTTACGGTTTAGTGGGTAACGATTTTAACACCAAAAGGTGCATCATGCCAAAAAATGCCGTAACATACGCAACTAATATTATTTATTATACATATGATTTGGTAAAACACTGACTTAATTAATAAAAATATCCAAGTTTAATAATATCGGAATTATGCTGCATTTTCAGGTTTTTGTTGCTGCTGACGAGTTTTCTTTTGGTTTTTATGTGGTGTTCCATCTTCGTCGACGGGTCGTTTGTTAGCCGGTACTAAGTCATATAATATGGATATGGAATTTAGCTTAGGTACCATAGCTTTTTTGTTGGAATCTCTAAACTGTGAACCGGGTATTAGTGGTCGTCGACGTTGTATGATTTCAGAAGTAGCTTCAGTGCACAAACGTAAAAGTCGTCACATTGCACCGTTCATGGTGTTCTTGCAGACACACTCCTATATGAAAAATAAATGAAATTGTATTAACATTGTTCTAATTAAAAATAAAAAAATATGTATACATAAATGTGTCTTAACTACCTTTGCATCCAAAATATCGTCTGTCCAATCATCTTTTGCTAAGTTCTGTACAGACTTAATTAAAATGTTCTTTACTTTTACAACATTTTCGGCAAACGTTTTCAAAACATCTTGCACATTAACACCTTCACATCCCATGCGCCAGCAATCATAATCGGTGGCAATTGCCACGGAACCGTATAAAAGTCCTGCTTCTTTTGCCAGCACTACTTCAGGGCAGGTGGTCATGTTGATTAGATCACCACCCCACTGACGGAACATGTTACTCTCAGAACGCGACGAAAAACGAGGTCCTTCAATCGTTACAATAGTAGCTTTCTCGTGCACATTATAGTCCAACTCTTTGGCGCTTTTAATCAGCACGGCACGCACGCGTTCACTGAACGACGGAAACATGCTCAAGTGACAAACACCACGCGGACTTTCCGCTCCACCATCGTAGAATGTTTGTGCACGTTTAGTGGTGCGGTCGATGAAATCATTTGGCACCACCAAATCGCCTGGATGAATTTCTTCGCGCAGCGATCCGCAAGCGGTTGAAACTATCAAGTGTGTGCAACCCACTTGCCGCATGGCCCAGATGTTTGCGCGATAATTCACATTGGTGGGCATAATGTTGTGTTTACGACCATGTCGTGCCAACAGTACACACTTTACGCCGCCAATTTCACCTTCTATCAGTACATCGGAAGGATTGCCGAAGGGAGTGTTGACCTCAGTTTCCTTGCGATTTTCCAAAATATCCGGATCATCGAGTCCACTACCCCCAATTATACCAATCTGATCAAAACAAATTTATGTGAACTATATTAATAAGACCATAATAAGCCATATGTAGATTCGTACCTTGACTGCGATGGGTTCCAAATTGGTGTCGTTGCACTTGATGTGTATCATTGTGCTGCGTTCCGAGATGTTTTCACAGTGGCTAAATCGTGAAAAGTGTATACTAAAAATTTATTTCGGCTTAATACAGCTCCTATCAGATGTAGCGGTTAAGGTCAGCTGTTGAAGAGATAAGCTGAGCGATAACAAACATAGTTGTTGTAAACGGTTTCATGAAGTTTGTCGCCAAATTTGCAGGGGCATGGGTGGTATTCCCGTCGTGCCGGAGTTTTCATTGAACCAGGATTTTACCGAAAATTAAGTTGGAACACAAAATATTTAATATTTTGCTAAGTAGATGGGCATACTTCAAAATAACCAACCGTTCAGTTATAGAAAAACTAAAAATGCAGATTGCTAGTACTTTTTACGCTGATTTTAACTATATAAATATTATTTGCCGCAATTAAAAAGTAAAGTAGATATAAAAGGTAAAACAAAGTAATTGTGATATTTTAAAATATTAATATTTTCTAAACTGCGTAACCGATTCAAAAGGTAAGATGTCAAAATAAAGGAAATTAATTTATCTTCAAGCTGATATATAAAATGTGTATGCTTTTTATACATATAAGCCAAGGTACATTGAAAAGGTAGTATCAGTAGAGCAGCTGATTTGATTTATTTTCAAATTATTTGGTCTCGAAAATGTCAAATATTTTAAATTTTTTCTCACAAAAATTCTGAACTGTTAAAATCCATTTGCATGTGAAACCTTTTTCCATACAAAACAAGCGATTGATTAGCAGCTTTTGGAACGTTCGCCCAACTCAGCAGCACGACCGCTGATTACTGGGCCTTGCAAAGGATGGATCAATGCTTCGAGAAGCAAACAAATTTACTAGGAAAGAAAGTTGCATCAATTTTTATTTTTTCCAATTTCAATTTTTTATTTTTTATAATTTTTTGTATTTTACATGGCACGCTTTGATTTAGAAGAAAAAATTCAGAACAGTTTTTGACACTTTCGATACCAGAAGCAACAACAAAATACACGCAGATGTTGTTTTTGCTCTACTGATACTACCTGTTTAATGTGCCTTGATATAAGCCAAGAATATTATAAAACAAAAAAAAAGGAATAATTTTTTCATAAAATAATCCGCCTACGCAGAAAGAAGTTCTGGGCAAAAGAGACTATGATATCACCCACACTTGTCACTTGCTTGTAAATGCTTTTAATTTTGTTTATTACTGAATTCTTAAACCTCAAAAGTAGATCATAATAAAATACGTATATCAAATTAAAGGCAAGAACTTACACTTTCTAAATAATATACATGTCATTTAGCATTATGCACTTTTTTCTATAAAAGGTTATTTTATGAAAAAATTATAACATTTTATTTGGTTTTTAAATTTTTGGCTTAAATATATAAGCAAGCAAACACATTTTATATATCAACTTAAAGATAGATTAATTGTGTTTATTTTGATATCATTACTTTCTTAATCGCTTACGTAGTTTAGAAAATATTAATATTTTAAAGTACCACAAACATTTTATTTAACCTTTTATATCTACTTTACTTTTTAATTGCGGCAAATAATATTTATATAGTTGAAATCAGCGTAAAAAGTACTATCGGTCTGCATTTTTAGTTTTCCCATAGCTGAACGGTTGGTTATCTTGATGTGTTCCAGTAGATGAATTTGAATAAAGGCGCTTTTTAAGGCGCCTGCACACGTTCAATCTTCATTGACAGTATTTCTGTATTACAAAATTTATATAACGTGTAGCATGCGATACTAACGGATCGTGATACATATCATAAATTTTCTAGATATTTTGAAATCCATCAATAGGATCGCAATACTGCGTGTACCCACAGACTCGGGCACGATTACAATAACCGAGGCGCCAAATTTTGAACAAGGTCGTCGATAGAGGTTTTTGAAGCAACGAATAACGGTTTACTCTTTTTCTTTTTATGGGAAGCGAAAACTACAGGAGATACCCAGGGTCAAAGATCCAATTCATATTTTTTTTTTTAACCAAATATCTCGAAAACGAAAACACGGAATCTGTAACTTTTTATGTCTTTCAATAAGACATATGAATGCTTTTAATACGATTTTACGACATACGTCCATAGGACATACGATCATGGCCGACGAATTGAGTTAACGGTTCTAACTTACTAGGGGTCTTCATCAAAAGTGATAAACTCTTGATAAACTTGATAAAGTGATAAATTTATCATATTGATAAATGAACTGTCAAACTTTGTATAGAAATCCATTTAACCAAAGTGTGTCACTTTATCAAACGACTTTGGTTGATGAATGTATAAGTTTCAGCAAAATTCAACCCTTACAGGTTGCCAGGTAGTAAGTGAAGTAATTATTTGCCAAGGCACGTTCATGAAATAATGCGGATAAACTGATAAACTTAAGCAATTTATTCCTTTATCAATTTAGATAAAGACCCTTTATCAATTTAGATGAAGGTCACTTTAAACGCATAATTTAGGTAAAATTATGCATTTAATTGCTTTAAAATGTGTTTTCATGTTGAATTAACTCTTCTTTACTTAAATAAAAGTGTTGTTGTTGTTGTTGTAGCAGCATACAAATTCCCCAAAGACTTTTTGGGGAGTGTTGCTGGAGTGACAGTCCTTGGCCAGATATAAATCTGGGTCGTTCCGGTTACGTAGACCCGACTGTCACGGGAATATGAGCGTACATAAATAAAAGTGTAAAATAGTGGTGCTTGCTATGTAAACAAACGCTCAGCTAACGAACCCGCTTTCGCAAACTGTTTTCTCAAAACCAATTACAAATACAACGTCGCGTTCTTACGTGGTCTTGCATTTTTGGTTCATGTTATCATGGTGTGCCTGCCTTGGGTGTGCCATGATCCAACTACTGTAATCGATAAATCGACGAAATCTGCACAGTAATAACAAAACTGTCAAAATTCTCGTCGACATGTTTTGAAAGGTCTTTCAACGAATTCAAATTCGTGACCGGTTCGATATAAAAAAAAAATAAATAACGAAGGTTTGAATTACTTTCAAAATAAAATAACTATAAAGAAAAGCAATACTCTCATACTTTGGTCATATGATTTTATTTCAATTAGTTGGATAAACTATTTTATGCAAATACTTTAGCTGATTTAGCATTCCGTTATTTTTATAACATGCGCTGCTCAGTCTCAAATTGTCCAAGCAAAACAAATGGTGAAAAAAACTTTTTTCCCTTTCCTAAAGACAGAAGGTTAAAGAGTAAATGGGTGAAATGGGAGAAATATTACCTTTGCAACTAAACGAAGAATCAAGTATGAATTGCGACATATTCGAAACTGTAGCATTAAATATACTAAAAAGCTTTGGACCACAATACGCTTGTAATGCACACAATGAGATCTTCCAATATGTGCGAGGATTGCAAAATATTACTTTGTCGGATATGTATACCCCAAGGTCACGAGAACCACAATTACTTGCATATCAGTAATGTTGCATCTAAAGGAAAGGACATACTGCATGTACTTTTAGAAAGTTGTCGTTTAGGTATAAATTGTCTTAGGAACTGCATCAATAATGAATTAGATCATGCACATTTTATTGATGGAAACTGCGACGCATTGATCCAAAATATACGTAATACTTTCCATCCAATTATAGCGGCTATCATGGAGCGTGAACGCTTTCTTTTAGATTTTGTTGAAAAAATACGTAAAAAGCGGATGGAGAATCTATATGAACAAATGACTGCCCTAAAGTCTGCATTTTCTGGTTTAATGGATACAAAGGGTATGTTGCAGCATTTAGCAGCAAATGGACACCAGATGGATGACCTCAGCATTGCTATGAAGCTAGTAGAAGGAAATCGACAAATCGAAATATCGTCAAACATTTTCAAAGAAAAACACCCGAGAAATGATTTTTTCAAGTTTTACGAACCACTTGCTTTCAAAAATGTATTAAATGATATAAAAAAGCAAGGATCTGTTGAACTGGCGGAATCTCATTTACCTAAGGATGACTATGCCGCTGCATCTATGGATATCATATCTGATTTATTACAAAGTTCTGGTGACCGTGAAATGCTTTCATCATCGCTTCATCATATAGTGAAACAGAAGAATAAACAAGGCATAGATGTTGAAATAGCACCGAACAATTTGAAAAACGAGCCAACTCGATCGAACGCCAACGCAAAAAATGTTGTCGTCGGAGAAGCGGTACCTGGTTGGATTAATAAAATAAAAGCCTTTCGTTCTGATGTACCTACATTGGCTTTTGCCACTAGTGGAAACGGCGATGGCCAAGTTAGTCGGCCTTCGGGAGTTTGCGTCACTAAAACGGGCCAAATTTTAGTAACCGATCGACGTAATTGCAATGTTCAGGCTTTCGGCGTTGATGGACGCTTTCTATTTAAATTTGGTCGAAAAGGAAATGCTAAAGGTGAATTTGATTCACCAGCTGGCATCTGTGTAGACAAAAGTGGACGTATTATTATTGCGGATAAAAATAACCATCGTATTCAAGTGTTTTCGTCGGGTGGAATGTATCTGCTCTCATTTGGTGAGCTGGGATCGGATTATGGTAAATTGAAATTTCCGTTTGATGTTGCTGTAAATACAAAATTACAAATAGCTGTGGCAGACACAGCCAATCATCGCATTCAACAATTTGAACATAATGGACGTTTCATAAGACAAATACCAATGGGTATTCTAAAATCCACCGGTTATGAAATAACGCCTCGTGGATTATGCTACACTCCAACTGGCAAAATCATTGTATCGGATTACGCAAATCATTGCTTGCATCTAATTGAACCGGTGAGGAATAAAGTAAGTTAAAAATTATGTAGCTAAGTACTGTAAACATGCCTAAATATACACCTTCACTGTTCCTAAAAAAAAATTTTGCGCAGATTGTGTCAACTAAAGGCAGCCGAGGTCCCCTTATAACTTAAAAATGATAAACTGGACTGAATTTAGCAATAAAAAAAAGCAATTTAATTATGAAAAATTGCAATTAATGTATTACAAGTACACATATAAAAATAATTTATATTAAATGATATGACATACTTTTTAACATGAATTTATATTGGGCATTTAAATAATCTCACGAAATGATCTTCGCCACAACTCGCAAGCAAAAAAGATTCAGTAGTACTGCTGCCAATATTGCCGACTGGCTGGAACTGTAAACGTTTCACTGCAGAGTCATGCGCTTTCTCCAGTGTAAGTTTACTGCAAATGCAAAGTAAGAAAAATATTATACATACAAAAGTATACACATTTACAGTTCGAGAAGTTTAACGATTGTGCTCTAAATTAATATGTTTTCTTAGAATTTCATACTTACGTCGTATCTATGAGTTGTAATTGTTTGCCATTCTTTTCGGTGTTTGTTTCATTTAGTTGTTGCAGCAAAATATCACCATTTGAAAAGCCTACCGCAAGCTGATAAACTCCAGCTGTGACAGTCCTCGAACCAAAAGCAACAGCAGTAATGGGATTTATGTGTGTTTGCTTAAGATTCACGGACCATTCATCTGCTGCACCATTAGCTTGTGCCCACACACCCAGTATTGCATCTCGCCCACCAGTCGCAAAGTATTTGCTATCATGTGACCAATCACATGTCCAAATAATACGATTATGCACAGACATTTTGGCTGCGGAGCGTTGTTTCAAGCGATAATGTGGATGATTGTTTGCAGTTGTCAACTCTTCATCGCGTTCGAATAACGCCCAAGTGCGGTCGCGTGAAACTGATAGCAACAGTTGACCCTTAGGTGAGAAGCGCATCTGCGTCACGGTAAGTTTATGTGCAGCCAGTTTTTGAATTTGCTTCCACGTTGCAGTGTCCCTAAAAAATCCGAAAAAAAATATATAAATTTACAATCTCATCGAAATTATTTTTTACCAAAGTATTATTTGCGCGTGTTCTTCATTTGTAGCGCGGCAGGCAGAAGCCAATACTTTTCCATCTGGCGAAGCTGCTAGTGCATATATTTCGAAGCCGTGGCCGTAAAGTTTTTGCATTTCCGGCCAAAGCGTATTCTGCATAAGTGTCTCCTCTTGAGGTGGTGCGTCCAGTGTAACTGGTACGAAATAATTTTCAGGATATTCATCTTTAATATGCTTTTCGTGCGGCACAGGATCAATGTCAGAACCATACACTGCTTTATTCGATAGGCCTAGTGAAGGCACGGAAGCGCCTTTTGGCAGAGCTGTGAATAAAATTCAGCGCGGTAATTTAAAATTTTATTTTAATTAGAAAAACTTACTTTCCAGCAAAGCATCGCCCTCCGCATCACTTTGTGCTCCCGTAATGCGTCTAAAGTTTTCAATGAAATTAGTGGACGCTTGGAATGTACGTACTATCTTTTCTTCTGCTCCACTAGCGAACTTGTACCGCGAGAGTATCGCAACTGTTTGCATATCATAGCCGTGCACTTGTGGGCGTGCCAATTCGTGCCAAGATATGTCTTCATCCTTCTCTTCTTTACCACGTCGCCATGGCGCATGAATGCGAGTAGTTTGGTCCGCCGAAACTGTCAATAAGAACTCACCACTTGGTGCCCAAGCCAAATCGCGTACTTCATCAAAGTGGCCACCCACTATAATGCCGGGTGTCCAAAAATGTTCGCTATCAGTTGATTGATGCCATATATGAAAGCCACCCTGATAGCTATGTCCAAATATGGATTTGCCACTGCGGGAGAATTTACCGCCATAAAATCCCAGTGAATTACCTCCCACCTCACCCACACGAACTTTTTCCATCCATATACCATCTTCGCTAGGTGCCCAAATAATTATAGATTTGTCAATGGAAACGGAAAGTAAACGTATACCTGTAATGAACATAAAAAACATACATACAAGAGTTGCGAGGTAGCTAAAACAATTTACAAAATATTAACAAACTTTAAATTTACCATCTTTCTCTGATTTATGCCAGTTAACACCATATACCCAGCCTTCGTGACCATACAGCACCGACTCCAAGCTAATAGCACACCAATTGCTAGCACTTAAATGCAGAATTTTCTCTTCCACACGTATTTCAGCAGCATCTTCTTCTATAATGTTGCAAATATCCACACTGTTTTCGCGCGTTTGCTCCTCCGTTCGTTTCGATATGCGCCATATGCGTATAAAATTGTCCTGCGCTGCACTTGCCATTAAAATATCATCTGCATCCTCAACAACGTCCAGCGCCCGTACCCAGTCTTCGTGGCCTGTCATTTGGTGTACCATACGAAACGGGTCTGTATCGGTGCTATTCTCTTCAATTTGTGCATTCTGCGCCCAAATAAGAATGTTGCCCTTCTCATTTCCAAATGCCAACAGTAATTGTTCACTCTTTGGCAAACGGAATAGGCTAAGACCAAGAATGTAGCTATTTAAATTGTTTATGGTTTGTGCTAATTCTACAGCGAGTGTATTGAACGTCCACAAAGTGACTGACTGCTCAGCTGCCGTCGCTATTAACCACTTATTATCACTCAAATAGAGGCTGGTGATATCTGTTACTGGACCAATGTGCTTAAGTGCTTGAAAACGTATGCCCCTACACTGTTTATCGAATTGCCATACATATGCATTACAATCATCTGCCCCAGAAATGAAGTAAGATTCAGGTTCAGAGGGTGACACGCGCAACCAATGAACTGTATTTACGCGGGCTTCATGGCCTATATAAGTGCCTACATGTTTTGCTGAGCCATTGAACTGTGAAGAAAATATGTAAAAATTGGCAACTCCTTAACGGTGTTTGATTTTACTTACATTCGGATCCAGTACCGCAACGGAATGGTGTGCGCCGAATAAGATCAAACCGTTGTCACCCCAATCTGCACAATGTGGAGTGGGATTGCACGCAGCAGATGCATAAATCGTGTATTTGGAATTGTTGTTTTTGGATCTTGAATCAGTCATTGTAGTTAACTATTGAATGGTTTGCAAATTTGAGAAATTTGCTAGAATAGATGGGATCCAGAGGCACGTTTTCAGATATTTACGTGTTTTGCTTTTATCGTTTCTTTCGCTTTTTGTTTTGCTAATAATTTAGTGTTGGCAAGCATTAAAATAACCTAACCTCGAAGTTCAGCGAAAACATAAACACGTGCTTAGACAGTGTTTGCATTGATCAACATTGCCTTCACAATTTGCGTTTAACCAAAGAACGTAAATCTATATAATAAATATAATAAATTTACCTTCTTTGGTGCAACCCTGCGCTGAGTTGAACGCGCATGTTGAACGCAATGTTGAACAATGCAAACATACTTTTACACAGGCATTTCATTTTATATTTGAAAATTGTAACTAAATATTTATGCAATGCGAGCACTGGTTATTTCACCACACTTCAAACAAATTTACAAAATAAAAGCGGTTGTTAACGAAAGAGCTCAAGTATACGAAACATGTCAAAATACTCATAACGCAAGGACTTATAGGTTGTTTATATTAGGCGATTTTACAGGCATCTTCTTTCGTTCTCAGCAGCCAACCCTCGATCAACTTTTGATTGAACTAAACGCCTTTTAAATCACAGCATGTAAACACCGCATTATTTTGGAGCGATCAATTCATGTAATCCAAGTATTCGGTATTTAGTTTTTTTCAAAATGCAACCCTTCATTCATTAATTTTTATTTCCAAAATATGGCAGTGCTGCGCAAAGCGACGCTGCATATGAGAATTTTAACGGAACGCTTGACAAGCTGTGCGTAGAAAGCAAAAGGAAAGGCGACGTGTATTTTTTTTTATTTATTTTGTGAAAAATTAGTGGGCTTAAAAAATTAATTAACGCTATTAAAGGTTAAACAAATATATTCATATGGGGCGCAAACGAAAAATACCAATTGCGGATGAAGAAAAGGAGAATACAGTCGCTGCAAGCCGCAAACGGGGTGGTGGCGTCGCTGCAAGCAATCCCATGATGCTGCACGGTCCCATGTATACAATAATGTCCAATGTGCAATTAAACGAAACCAGCCACAAAAAGTACATCAAGGAATTGAAGCAACTGTACGCGAAGGTAAGAAAACTGCGTCTTTTGTTGATGTGCGCAATTTTGCATTACTTTTATTTGGCAGATGGATCATGACGCCTTCATGTTTACCTTCATCAAAATGATAAAAACAGCAATGGTAGCTGATGAAGGAAATGAGTATGCAGAAACAACTTTATTATTTTGTTCTAAATTCGTCAGCTCATATGATGGCGATGATACACATCCGCTGCTAATTGATATGAGCAAGTGGCTGCTAACTGTAAGTGCTAATTGATTTACTAAAGTTAATCCAATTACTAAACTTTAAAACTTTGTACTTCCTAGACAATTTCGCGTAATCCACACATTCGTTTCCGCATATGTCAGTTTGTTAATATGATACTCAAGGCACTTGGCCAAGAGGCAGCGCTGGATGACGCCATTTGTGATCGTATAATGGATTATATGCTGCACCGCTTACACGATACCTCACCGAATGTGCGGGTGCAAGCGATTTTAGCAATGCAGCGCTTACAAGTACCGGATAATCCCGACGATCCTGTATTGCGCGCTTACCAGTTTCATCTCTGTTCAGATCCATCATCTCGTGTGCGTCAGGCAGTAATAACATGTATGGGACGTAACTATCATACAATTCCTTACATATTGGAACGATTGTGGGATATCGATGAAAAAGTTCGTCGACACACATATTTGCATATGAGCAGTTATCCAGTCCGGTCTTACAAGGTATCACAGCGTCTAACCTTATTGCAGCAGGGGCTTAACGATCGTTCAGAAGCAGTGCGCAAAGTAGTAGTACCAATAATGCTGCAACAATGGATTGAGTCCTATCAAAAAGATCTCATTGCTCTAATATCTGCATTGAAGCTGGATTCGAGCGAAGCCGAAATCGATCGGTTTCGAAAAGTAGCTAAGCAAACACTGAAAGAGATTTTCAAGTAAATTATTTTTTTGTGGGATTTTTGTTTGCATATTTAAACTATTCAATTTTTATAGGCGTCAAAGCAAAGAAGACTTGCTTGCTTGTGTACCCTTAGAGGAAGAGGGTGAGATGCATCGTTGTGTGCCGCATGAAAAACTGTCGATGGAAATTGCATTGTATTGGCAATGCTTGACAGAATTCTTGCAATCGGAAATGGCAGAAGAGTTCGACTTAATTGTGCCGGAGTTGAGCACGTTCTGTACATATGTGGAAAAGTGAGTTTAAGAAGAATTTTGGAACAGTACGCTTTGATAGTGAACGTAACTGTTTATAAAAGAAAAATATATAATTGTAATATCTAAATCATGCCGTGTAAAAAAAATTTGAAATACGCAAACATAAAGAATTATTTTGCGCAATCGGATACTGTTACATCCTGGGGTTACACAGAATACAGCCATACCTTCTAAAACTGTATACACATTTAAATTACAGTGCAAATAAATAACAAATATAAAATAAAAAATTAATATAAAATTAATAAACTTTAAATCCTGAAAACTTAATTTATTCTTAATTTTTAATATTTTGTTACAGATATTGCCAATCACAGAAACCAGATATGGATAAATTCGAACTAATGGAATTCCAATATAAACTTCTTTCCCTGATGGAAATATTGTATACATTTGATTTGGGCGACGAGATAGGGCGTGGAAATTTGCAAAAACTGCTTTCGTATCTTTTAAAAACATTCCGCCTTGATGAAAAGGTTATTGAAGTTGTTGTACGTTGTGCAGAGAATCTTATATCTGATCAAAATGCACGCATACAGGTATGTACTTTCTAGGCATTCAAAAACAGGAGATAATGTTCAACTTTTTCTATATTTAGCTATTTGTAGAGATCATACAAGATATCTGCGGTTTGAACAGTAACCCAAATGATCTTTTGCACGATCGGACATTAATCAGCGAATTATTGGCGAGCTCATCAAATGCAGATCTAAATTTAAAATTATCTTCGCTAAAGGTTAAGCTTCTTGATTTGGAGGAACAAGAAATGAATTTTGTACAACGAAAAGATTACATGCGTGCGCAGCAAATAACCGAGGAGAAATATGCCACCACAGAAGAGTATACGAACTTGTTGCAACCGCTTTTAGATAATCATCCAAATGCAGACATGGTGAGCTATTATGAAAATTAATGTGAAAATTTCTAACACTCTTCCATTACTATTAGCTAAAGCGTCCATTACAGCTGCGTAAAACGACGAAACCGGAAAGCATATTGAAGAGTTTGCAAATAGCCTTCTATATGGTCGTTTCACCTAAAGTGCGCTCACTTAATCCGAGCATTTTAAAACTGTATAATGTAAGTGCTGAAATTGTGAAAAAATTGTAGTCCTAAGTATGTGTGTATGTAGTTGTATATATAACGCTTACTTAATGTGTAGGACTTTATTTGTCGTCATCTTGCCTCAAATCAAATCGCAATCCGTGATTGGGCTTTGAAATGTGGTACCGCCTGCAGTATGCTGTACGAGGCGCTAGCAAAAGATGTTTTCGAAGAATTATATGCGCAGTTTTTTAAAAATCACAATATTCGTATATGGGAGACCTCCATAACGTGTATTTTCGAGCTGCTGGACAGGTAAGCTATCTTAGATTTTATTTACGTTAATGCACCCCTAATATATATTCTCACCTTAGATATGGTTTGGATAATTTTGCCAAGCAAGAAGAGCAAAGTAAATCGAAGAAAAGCGGTCGACAGTTGTATAACACATTAGAATTTCTGGACAGTGAAGACGACTCAAATGTTCTAAATGCCGGCCAAGGCGTAGATGTGATCTATATGATGTCGCATTTTCTGGACACCTGCGATGATACTTGTATAATAAGTGCAATAATAGTCGGCTTCTGTCGGCTTATATTGCGTGGCTATATTAAGTCTAGCGATATTATTGAAAAATTACTTTTGCGATATTTCAATCCGAGCACAGGTAGCATATAGATTTTCAGATTTTTGTTTTGACATTACTAGAATTTGTATTTCTGCTGAAGATTCGAACATAAATCAAATATTGGGTGTATTTCTGGAAAATTTGATACTGCGAAAGAAGCATGGTTTACTGCAACCTTGTCTACTGCCTATGGTGTTAACAGTGCTAGGAGCACCATATGAGAATCCATTGCACGACATACGTCCTGAGACCATAACTCGCTTTATCATAGACTCTACGCGTCAGGAGACTTCACAACTAACAGAGGGCTACATACACAACAAAATTGCTCACACATTCTTGCAAGAAATGCTGAACAATCTTACCAACAAGGAACTTTGCAAACTGTTGTCTAAAGAGCTGATTACGTTAGAATTAAATGTAACACAGAATGAACAACTAAAGCTTGAATTGAAAGAGTGTGCTGATAAGTTGATAAAGGTAGGATATTTTAGAATTTTGTTACCGCGAAAATGAATTTTAATTAGTTTGATATGTTACGTTTAGGCTGATTTCGATCCTAAGACTGTAAAGCATATAATAGATTTCAAAGATTTAGTTGATGGAAATTATAATCCTGCACGCAAACCTGCAGGGAACGATTCGGAGGGTGAAGAGGTACTTTTAATATTTTGTTTCGATCGTTTTTAGCGTCGAACATAAAATATTTCCATATATTATTTCATTTTTCAGGATAGCAATGATGAAACAGAGAATGATGCGAATAATGACGACGACAATGCCACAGTGACAACGGGGCGCAGTAAAACGTCAGTCGGTGAAGTGGTAGAGGAGCCATCCCAGCAACCCCCACCACAGCCACCTCCTAACGTCGTCATAACTGCAGTAGAAACAATTATCAAGCCGGCGTTAGTCGCTGCTCCCGTCGAGCCTGCTGTCACGTCTGCTACCGCCGCAGAAGTTCCTGCTCCAGTTGAGCCTGCTGCCACGTCAGCTCCCGCTGCAGAAGTTCCTGCTATAGCAGTAGCAGATGGTGCCATAATAACAAAAGATATTTCACCTTCAGCGCGTGTGCCCACAACGTATGGACGTGAGAACCGAGTGGGGCATCGTTATTTGCGCAAATCTCTCAATTCGACACGTGGTCAATCGGACACGGAAGGGGGCGATGGACCACATCGCTCACCGAAGATACGCATTGAAGCGCGCATTGATTCTGATAAGAAAACGGAACAGCCAGCACACGAAGAGCGAAGAGTGCGCAATTTACGGGCAAAGCGCAATTTGCGTTATAACGATAAAAATTCTGAATCAGAGGAAGAAGAGCCTGTTAAGCCTTCGAAAAGTGCAGCCCAAACGCGCAATAAACGACGTGCACATCTGCCCACTGTTGATGTTGATGATGAGCCTGAAGTGATTTCGTCCCCTAAGCAAACATCAAATGCAAAAGGCAGTGCTAGTAAATTTGAGCAAGCTCGAAATGCTGCTAGTCCGGCTAAGCGGCAAACGAAGGAGTTAATTAAAGAAAAATCTGCCGACGAGCTTTTGGAAAAGATTGGCGAACCGAGACGGGAACAATCCAGGGAACAGCAAAAAGAGCAGATAAAAACACGTGCCAAAGAGGCAGAGCGAGCGATAGTATCACCGGCAAGGACAACCAGGCCGGTGCGGGCGTCATCAAGAAGAGCTAAACAGATCAGTACGGCAGAGGTAAAAATTTAAGATTATATTTAGATTTAGTTGTTAAAATATAATTTTGGTATTTAATTTTACCTTTTGTTTACTGCAGCTCAATACATCCGACGTTATACCGCCTTCACCACCGGTGGCGATATCACCACGTACGATTGTTCGACGTCAGCGGCGTGCCGGTGGTGGTGATATATCAGTCGCTAATCTAACTCAATCTGCGCGTCCTGCAACGCGAAGTCATTCTGCTCAGCCAGCACATAATCAAGTGAGTACCAGACGACGAGGATTACAACTGTAGATAGTCCAGTACAATTACTAACCAATCTCCACACCAATAGTACTACCACCTCCACCCACCAGTGTCACCATCGCCATAACCATCACCACCACCACCAGCACCCACTTAACAACGCACAGGCTATTTGTAATTTTTCTTAATTATTTGCACCTATATGTATACATATATATAGTTATATTTCCTTAACGTTACATTTGTATAAATTTTGACTATTTAAAATATATATATATATATTTACGTTCAAAAAAAAAATGTAAATACAACTGACTTGGATGCGTAAATGTGTGTG